AACGATTAGGGCTGGGAACGGTTAACCGATTTCAGATGGTTAACGATTATGATTTATTTTAACCGTTAACTGACATCTCAGGTACAAATCATCCTCATACCGTACAATTTCTTCAAATATGATTACGTCATCGCAAATTTATCTCTTGTGGCATTTAATTCAAAAGAATATTACTAACTGTGTGGGTAGGTATTCACTCAATAAATGTGAAAAATAATGGAAGTACCAAGATTGCTGATTATGGAAATTTGACAATGATAAATTCAGAATCAGTTTTCGGTCGATTTCGAAATATATTGTTCACGATTTCATTGGAAAATTGGATATTCAATGTCATACAACAAGTGCGCAGTTGATGCCGTTTTTCTTTATGATATATATCTCGAAGTAAAATTTGCACATCAAACACTGATCATTTGTCACATAAATGACGTTTAACAACGGAATCAGGTTTTCTAAAATACTTCCACACGCCCGAACCACGCTGGCTATCTCTTGCAGCAGAGCAATCATGAAACTATCTCGATTCGTGAATAATTTTAATAAGCGATACCGGGATAAGAACACGCGAAATTGCTTTACAAGCATTGTGACGTAACAAGCTGAAATAATAAATTATTACTTCAAACGTCACGCGGCGGTTAACCGGTTAATTTTAACGGTTAAAGTGTTTCCCTGAAATTCCCAGCCCTACAGTAACGATACAATAAGAAACCTTCAGAAAGACACATTTTCACCCCAGTAAATGAAACTAAAGTAACTACTAAATTTACGTACGCAGTTCACATGACTTCTTTTGTCCAGTCAAAGCAAGACAATTTTGAGTATTCAATTTAAGCATTCAATTTACGATAAATAGATCGTAACGTATAAAGCTACTACCGGGAAATGTTATTATTGTTGTGGATGAATTGCTTTTCAAAATGCAAATATTTTCCTAAAGTGATTTGCTTTGGGATTGTCTCGGAATTTCCCAAAAGCTTCATGGTTGGGCCAATGGGCCATTACAAAAGATAGATTATAGCTGACATGGGCAAACTACGGCCCGCGCGCCAAATGCGGCCCGTTGGGTAATTTACTGGCCCACCTGATGCTGCCACAACCAAAACCTATGAAAACCACAACTAAAACCTATAAAATTTAGTTTTGGCACGAGGCTTGTTGTTTTCCACTTTTGCTTTTGTAACACTGTAGATATTGTTTATAAAATGTAACTTTTTACGACACTCTTACATGGCCCGCCAGTCCTGGGTGAAAGCCTAACTTGGAGAAATGTCTTTGCAAACGCTGAAATAATTCTCACCAATCCTCAACGAAGGTTCATTAGCGAATGAACATAATGCGCTACAACTGAAGGTGTGCTCCGATTTCTGACTTGTATATCTCAATGTATTCTGTTATCCCTAAGCAGAGAGCTCAAGTGCAATAAAAATAATTTTTTGATCTTTTATATTTTCTACAAATTTTCTCCAAAAATCGCATAGGTCTAAAAGCAATTTGTCACAAGCTTTCTCACCATAATTAATAAAATAAAAGTATTAAAATATTTTACCGTAAAAACATTGACACTAAAATGCAGCAGTACGTAAGCGAACAACTAAATATAAAACAATGTACTAAGGTGCGTTGAAAAATACGTGAAATAAACTTTTTTTACGTATTTTTCAACGCTACCCACAAATCTAAGTATTATTCACGAATTAGGTGATCAATTTAGGCGAAAAGAAACACTTTGTGACGTCATAATTTGAAAAATTGTGGCGGGAAAACGTCATCCGTCAAGAAGACAATTCACAGTAGAGTAGCAAATTGCTAACATAGCTTTTGCAAAATAGCCTATATTGTTTTTTCCCACGTAAGAACAATTCATATTATGACATCACAGAAGACATATAGCAAACGCAATTATGACGTCATGGTACAAATGGCATACAATAGAGCTCTCCCTTTTACCAGCACCAAAGCGAGAAATGAAAACAAAAACACAAAAATAATGATGAAAAAACAAGAATAAATAAATGTCACATCCTTATTCTAGATCCGTGTACGAAAATGTAAAACTATGAAACGTTGCAAAATAATACACTGTTACAAACAGCACGTAAAATCGAGTTGCATTCGTAAACTACGTAAATGCAATAATATTTTTCTAATGGAACAAATATTCAATGTTTAATCACATAAAATTCATGTTTCATCGTATCAAACTTGGACTATGTAAAAAATTGGGTTGGCAATTTCGAGCCGTGAAGATTTTGGTCATTCCATAAATTATAGCTCTGAATATATTGTTATATAGATCATGCTCGACTCTAGATCGCCAGATCTCTTTTGGAAAAGACAGTAAGCCAATGAAATTAACGAATTCATGTTTGGAATTATCGATCGCTAATTATTGAACCACAAATTAATTAATTCATGGAGATACTTCCATATACACTATCAAAATAGGGTCAAATTAACCGCGGCATTTTATGGAAACCGACAAATTTTTAGAATTGGTGAAAAGGCGATTCATTTATGTTATGAATTTTTAGTATATTTCTTTGTGTTACCAAAAGTTGAATTACTATTAAATGCTGATTTATTTTTTGTCTTTTTTTGATGATCGCGGAACGTATAATAATTTTAATTACATCCGTTGTATCGCTTTCTAAATGTAATTTTCCAATGATTCCAAAATCGAGAGTAATTTTTTCAAGGTCAAGTGGAGTTAGAAGGGTTAATTTTCAATGTTTACGTAAACAATGACGTTAGAATACGTACGCACAGAGTATTTCTCACGCAATATTTGACGCATAATGGTTTCGTACCTAATCATACTTTGAAAATATGATAAACAATTAATGGTCAATGGGTTCAATGTTGTTCAAAAAAAATCTAAATAAAATTAAAAAGTTCTTAGTTCTTTTCACAACAAACATATTTTTTTTTAATTTTTGTCTCGTCACTGTTACAATCGTTCACTTTAAAAATTTGTCTTGACAATTATCAGGAGATGATGATTTGAAATGACTATATCGCAACATGTAATTAAGCGGTCGCATTTGATATTACATTTTTGGCATTTTGAACCTGTATATTGTACGATAAAATATCTAGTGTTTACATATCGATGTTATAACAAGGTCAAATGTTATTACAATTCGGGGGCAATTTTGGGACATAAGGTAAATAACCTTGCGAACTGTTAAATCGATTTTTCATTTCGAAAGTTTCCAGGAAAACAAAACAAAGGGCAACTTTTGACTAATATTACAAAGTGTACTGCTATTTCATAGTAAAAATGTTAATATTTCGCGAATTTTGAAACGCTTTATCATGTGTAGTTGATGCGTGATCAGAAATATGTTTTATGCAGTGAACTAATGTTATTTCCATTCTTGCTGCCAAGCAAAAAGAGCTGAAAAAGTTTTAAAATGACTTACAATGGAAGGTTTTCGTGATAAATTACAGAACAACAAAAAATGTTATATTTCCAGACAAACAAACTTGTGATAAGTTTCCATAACATTGAGGTAGCCAAATCGAAATTGTTCATCGAAATTCGGAATCCTTATTGTACTCAGAAAATTCAGTTCCATTTTCGAATTCATAAGAATAGTAATTTTCCACTTGTAAGTTTCGAAATTTCTCAATCAGCTTAACTGCTAGCAAGATCAGTGAATTCCCACGAATTTTGGGGTAATTGAATTTTGTGGAGGTGATAGGAAGACGGCAATGTATGTATTTATCTTGACAATGTACGCAACTTGGCTAAACCAGATATAAATTTATATCAAGCCCTGAACATACATGTTTGATGACATAAATTAGAAACATTTTCAACACATTTGATGACATAATTGGTCCAAAATATCGTATTGTTTTCTAACATTTTCTGAAAATATCGGATAGATTTTCACAAACTTGAATTTAATATAATAATTTCCCTAATTTTTTGCTTTGACAATTGTTCAGATTAAAACGCCATACTGAATTACTTTCATCATACACAGGGAGTGTAAAATCAAGCCAAATAAAAAATAATTAAGTTGCAGAAATGTGTACGACTTATGGCCAATAATTTTTGTATGCTCAAGTCATTATGTTGACGTAACTTTTAAGGCCGCTGTAAAAATCTGATACTATGAGTGGAAAGTACCATAATTATAATCTATTGCAGTATTTTTCGAAGCAGATATCTTTCAAGACTGACGGGGGAAAAGGCTCAACTTTTAAGTTGTGAAATTCGTATAACTTAGTCATAAATGAACAAATATTTCTCATCTTGGGTTTATCCGAATAACAGAGAAATTATTAGGGAAATTGAGATGTTATATTTGAAAGTTTTGGCAAAATAAATTTAGGTATTCCGATAATTAAATAAGCTATATCGAGTGTGATTTAAAGGACAATATAAAAATGTAGCATGCCAATACAGATGTAGCTTTCACATCTATATATTATACTTTACAGGCGAGTTATCTGTACATTAATACGAGACCCAAGCTTGATACGATGATAAAAGTATTCTCAATCAACATAACGATGCCAAATGCTTAAACATTCGCAAACCCGTCCAAAGATCACAAAAGTTTCGCAATTGCAACAAAGTTTGCATGAAAAGCACTTATGCAATACGGGTTGTTTAAACAAGATAAATCAATGGTCATTTTGTAACCATGTTTTTCGGGAGAGTGTTCGCGACGGCACTCGACAAGTGTGCAAACATAACGGTGCTGTGATTCTACCGGTAATTTCGAGTGCTTATATGCACTTATATAATATAGTAGTGATTGAAGCGGCGATCGTTATACAAAAATACAATTTGGCAGTTCAGAGTACAAAAATGACAAGACAAATTAAAAGCTTTTAGAATAGAATAATATGTATAAAAATATCGTGATACCAAACATAACATGGCAATGTCGCAAATACCGAACCGAAAAAATAATTTTACAAATCCCACTTTTTAGTTATGCATTATTTTGATGAGTTTTAATCGTTTTCTGCTTGTCTGGGGCCTTCATTAATAAAACAAAATAGAACAAATTCAGTTTGGCAGAGTGGCTTTTGAGCGACAATTTTGAACTCAATGCTATGAAATTCTGTGAAATGCTGTTAAAAATCTTTAATCTGAATAATATATTTCAATGAATAGGTCGAACAGGAACAAATTCCCTTCGTATGAAAGTAAAGGAACGTTTGCAGTGGTCCACATCTCAGGCCGTAATCGTATGACGATCACGATCTCTGTACGCTGATAAGGCAGATATTTGATAAATATCTCTATTTCGCCATTGACATCATTCTGTTTCCAGAGCTTGGTACTTGAACACAATCTGGGCCGAACGGGCTAAAATCGCCTAATCCGGCAAAATTTAAAAAGTCTTCATGGGGGGAAGGAAGATCTGACGACGACTGACCCAATGACCACGAATCTATTGGCTTATATACGGTTGTTGGAAGGGTGAAGGAATCTCCCCAGGTGGGTCTCGTTGGAGATTGCTGACTTGCGCTTTTCATTAACTGACTTTTGACGTGGTCTGGCGAGGATGACGCAGAAGAACCGGAGGACGACTCGGAAAATGATGAAGTCGATGATGCTGACGCTCTTGGTTGTCCTTGGCTGTATTGATACATCTGGTTGTCTATCGGAGATGTTGGCACTTCAGTTCTGAAACCTACAGGCGCAACTGGAAATGTAGGAGATACATCGTTAGCGTTGTATTGTGATTGATGTGCTGGGAAACCCGTAGGAGTAGACTGCTGCATCCATTGGAAAGGAGTCAAATTCCTGGCATTTGATCGCATTTTCGTACTTCCAAATTTTGTTGAAGCGAATTCGTCCACGGTGTAAAGCCTTCTTGCTGGTCTTAAACTGTAATTGAAATTTGTTGGAACTGTTCTATGTTGAAGTTGGTTCATTGCACTGTCACCTGGATAGGTGGTATCGACTGGAACATTCATCGGCGCTTTCGGTAGAAAATCTTTTGCGTGTGGGTTAAAGGTCATGTAAGAATCTGCGGAAGTTATATTATGGGTCATTTGAATCCCGGTAGAAAATGCTGAATTGTTGTTTTGTTGTTGCTGATTTTGTTCCACTTCTTCTGTGCTTGGTTGGTGTTTGTATAATACTTTAACTGGACCAGGTTTTCCATCCGGGCCTCCTATAGCGTAAGAAACTTCGCCTGGATCTACCCACACGCTCAATTCGGAAGGAAGATTATTTTTGATATCCGTGACAAAGTCCAATCCGCTTCGAGTAGCAGCGAGTTCAAAGGACGGATCAATTTCTGCTGAGTTGAGATGAACGCAACGAAACGCAGAGCCTTTCATGGGGTTCGTTGGATACCAATGTCCGTTGAACTTTAATCGAAGTAACTTTTCTAATTCTTCTCCGTATAAATGAACTCGTGTTCTTGGTAGTTTGTTGTACAAATAGGAAATGATGAAATTCATCGCAACTTGCAACTCAACATGCATTTGTTCGTTACTCCCGTGCATCGTGGTAGCTCTGTTGTACTTTATTTTTAATGCAAATAATATAGAAAGATAAGTCTGTAAAAATGAAACAACAAGGTTTAAAAACAAGATCAAAAACAAAATTATATCTTATATATAAACAGTTATGGGATTCAGGGGGTTAGGTACTCCCGTACTGTATGTACCAGGTTGGGGTTAGGCCATAATTTTATTCTACGATTTCGATAACTTTCTGTGTTAGCCAAGTGAATATACGCCTGAATATCAGCGAGCCCGTTCCATTTTGTTGTTGTTGTTGTTTTAGTTCGGCTCGGATCTCTAACGACTGTAAGCGAGTTCGATAGGGAAGAGAACCGTTCCTAAAATTTTGAATTTCACCTCACCTTATATAATATTAAATCACTTAATAAAGTAAAATCACTAAATAAATTATTTCTCAAACTGAAAACGTGCTGCAATGCATATACAGATCATGAAACGTTTCATCGTGACACTGTAGCTACTACAATAACACCGTGTTTATCATCGTGACACGATTTTATTTCTTCGAAAAACCAAATTTAGATAATTGTATTTTTTATTTTCAAGCACAAACCTTAAGAAAGATTACCATTTAACTTGAAATATAAGATTTATGGACTGAATTTTGGGAAGGCCGCTAATTACGAAAACGCTTATTTGCATAAAAACCGAAATCTTTCAGTTCGACATATCGTTACACTTTAGGCGAGAAGGTGTAGGGTTAGATTGTTGAGCCCCGAATAAGAAGAATTCTAAATTTAACACTTGCAAGTTTAACACTTGCGGTTTAAACACTTTTATGAAGATAGGCCAAAGTGCTGGGCTTATGCCACCGCGTGGCAAATTCAAATTATGGTCCATTTCAGATATGGAAAACATTTCCATTAAGGGACCACGAACTATTGAGAGCAAAGGTTGTGAACACACAAATGGATTTACTTTTAGTAAACAGCAATAAAAATTACGAAATCCCTAATATAGATTCTGACATGTTTTAACTGCAATTTCTGTAATATTGTGTCACATTATTCAAACATCACTCTTTAAATATTATATAAAAATGGCGTCATCTCTACTTCAGAATTCGTAAAGTATTATGTACATTTTAATGTATATAATTATTCAATATAAATTACTCCATTGATAAGGCCCAAGTTAATTATAGTGAACAAACAGTTAAACTTACTAACTCCTATAAAATTAAGCTTGTTAATAGATTAATTTTCTATCAATCATTGTTAAAATATAGTACGATATCACAATGACTTTGCGACCGTGTTTAAAAATAAGCGAGTTAGTAATAATGAGTGTGGTGAATTGTCATTCATTTGAATAAATCAAACTTTCGTTTGTACTCACTGTGTTGTGACTTCTATTAACAGTAAAATATAACAAAATTCACTTAGCTTGTATAACTTATTTATCACAGACATTCTTTGAAACATTTTACGTTTAAAAACTACGACACATTATTGTAGCTGTAAATACCTCATACCATTTGAGTGGCCCAACCCGAAAATGGTTTCTTGGAAAATTCACGGTACTATGCTGAGCATTCTCGCAAAAAAAAATAATTAAACAGAAAAAGACTGAAGCGCGTATGACAATACATTAAATTAGGGCATCCTTCCTGGAATATTCTTCAACCAGGGGTCAGCGGCGGATATTGTTGGTAACCTGAGTACTATGGCACTTCACAACATCTGTGTTCGACGTTATTGCTTCTGGTATAACTTTCTCTTATTATTAAAAATCGCGAGGAAGTAGAACACAAAAATGATACCACGGACAGGCCAATCTTCACATTTTCTCTGACCGGATTTGAGTGGGCGGGTTCGGCTTCGATCTATCCGGATTCGTGAATGGCTCGCAATGCAAGGCATATCATGTGATGCAAGCATCAAAAATATATTCCACGATATAAATACCTGTATTCTGAGATCGGCGGAGAATGTAGTGGTGTGTTCTACGAGAAAAGCAGCTGTTAGTGCAAACTTTTTCCTGAAATGCCAAGCAAAGAACCTAGACCACAGTTATTTGCGCAAAGCAAGATCACAAACAGTTCCTCAAAAGTGCATTCCACGGCGTAGCACGCCATATAACAAACTGCGTACAAACAAAGAGTTCTAACCGGGTTATTCCGACACTTTGAAACTAAAATTTTTTATGCGTCAATCGTCAAAATATCCCTTCAAATTTGCCTCAGAGCTCAATTATGTCAAAAATCGAAATTTCCCGATTTCATGGTTTTTGTGAAATAAAGGAAGTAATAGTGCGCAACAAGTTTTCGGCAATTCCCCTTATTTGCTACAGAAATTACTGTTAAATTCTTTCGATTGATCAATTTATAACAGTTTCAGGTAAAAAATGCAACATCATACATTTACTGTGTAATACTTAATTGTTCACACGAGTTGAAGATTATAAGAGGTTTTACTCTTTGTACTGTCGGCTTCAAATAGGTAAACGCGTTTTATACATTCTGCTTTGTACAAATAATGATAATCAGCTATTTGGCTGGTAAAGAACACGACTCATAGTTCATGTTTGAGACATAGTTGGAACGTATCCAGCTTGGAAAAGAAAAAAAAATAAAGTCAAACCAGTCCAGACAATTTATATATGCCAACTTTTAAATTACTTAAATCTCACGTGATCGAAATGAGGAGTGATTGCACAACAATTTGTAAAGCGGTATGACCGGAAAGTTCTGGATTCGTACTCGATGTAAACAACATTATGCTCACACATGTCGCCACGTCCTAAATATCACGTGTACACAGAATCACGTCATCGAAAATTATTGAAAACACTTCATCCAAATAGTATTGAAAAGTTGCTTGATTGTTTGTTCAAATTTTTCGTTTGCGTAATACATTACTGACAAACGGCAATTACGCCATTTGTTTGAATTTGTATCGTCCGCGTTAATTAACCAATCGTTGTAAAGGAACCTATTCGCTCGAATAACCGGCGCTCCAGAAGCGTGTGTACCAATATGGAGGTAACTAATTTTGTTCGCCTACTTTAAATCAAGTTGTGTAAATGCCTGAAGCCTATGGGCGGGAGGTATATTTACTTGGCTAACACTGACAGTCCTCGTACTCGTAATAAAACTAAAATTAGGATAAAATTATGGCCCAATACTAACCTGGTACAAACACTATGGGAGTACCGTTGTAGGAACCTATTCGGTCAAATACCCAGCTCTAGACTGTCAAATTATCCGGATCTACAATCTTCAAATACCTAATCTTCATTAAAAATCCATGTCGAGAATCACTGTACTGAACTAAGCTCCAATTAGGTATATTAATTATTTATCTAAAATGCAATGCTGTATTCAGATTACGGTTAAGAGGAGGTATGCAAAAGTAAATGCCAAATCGAAGTAACAACTCTGATCTCGAGCACTTTCGACTAAATTTTATCTTTACGATGTAGGCAGCCCATTTCTTATTGTTTATATTTTAAATTGATTTTATATTCTTAGGACTGAATTGAGTGCAAGGAAAAAACGTGTCAGAACATCTGAGAAAACGTGCCAGTTCTAAAGATTCATTTTCAAAAATATTCACATGTTATTGTCATTAGTGAAAATGCGGTATTTCCTGCAAAATAGAATCAATTTTCAGATTTTAGTTCCATCGAGGTTCGGTACGCGGACGACGTGACAAGTCATCAGTCTGAAAGTGAAGGAACATACGTAGTCACTTACGGGCATATAGTCTCTTATCCAGTCATCACGCTACCGGTACTCATGTATCTATTTCGCTATTTCTCATTTTCAATAGCAGCAGAGATTTTAAGATGCACGCATATCAGCACATCAATAAATCTTACTAACGACTTCATGCTACGCTAGGCAGTACTATAGCGATGAGTTAGTGAAACAATGTAGATCAAGGCTGCTAATATTTTCACCACATTCTAATTATTGAAGCATGTTAGACAGCATTAGCCCCCCCCTAAAAAAATACCACCCTGCATCCAATACCATTGAAATAAACCCTCAGTTTATATGGCGAGATAATTGCCCTCTAAGAAGAACTTCTTTCAAATGGCTAATGTATATCTATATATCCATTTCAACTCAGCCAAACCTCGACTAAACTACATCATCTCACATAGAGATCACCTCATCCTAAGGTCACAGTTAAAAATCGAGAAAATTATCAATTTTTCTGCATTACTCAACATTTTAAAATAACGCATAACGTCCTGTTTCTCGAACCAACCCAAGTTACCGAGTTAATTGAACGTAGCTACCTTGACTTCAGAAACAACATCGTTAGGTGGTATCAATTAACTGTAATAATTGAAGCCAAGGCGATATTTCTCTTTCTGAATCATACGCGTCGATGATTTGAATTACCACCTTTATTATAAGAATTCCTTTAACGCCTCGCACAATACAATTCCAGCAAGTCGTCACATCCTTATGCTCCATGTTCCAACAAACACGACAATATGGCTGTTTCCTCGCAGCATATTGCCGATATTAATAGTTCGCCTTTTTTAGTGCTGCATGTCAGTGTGCTGACATCACAAGATCGAACTAAAAACAGTTGAAATTACTTAAATTTAGACGCCAGGTTTTGATAAAGAAATGTTTCGAAAAACGAAAATCTAGCGTTATGTTAGCATTGTGGCGCCATTGTTACCCGAAATGTTAATTTTCTGCCAGGACACGTCAACATTAATTGAGAAACTTTAAACCAATGTAGCAGAGATAACATAAACGTGAGTATTGACTATTGAGTAGCATATTCATTTGCCATCTGGACTCCAATTTATGCCAATTTTCATTTCAATACACAAAATGAAGTCTCGGAATTACAAAATCCGGTGCTAGGTAACAAAATTGAATAAATGAGGACACCGCGTTGCAAGTTTTAAACTTTTAAACACGACGTACCCAGGTGGGTTTGTTCATACATTTGACACACGCGTACAGAATTACACCATATTTAAATGTTTTTCTTTTCATTCCTTGTTTTTTTAGGCGGACAAACAATTCAAAAGTAAAAGCAAAAAAGAAATAGAGGTAGATA